AAAAATTTTCTGATTTCATGAAATGGGGATCTCCAGACACTCCCATTTCACATTCCGATTTCAAAATTTTGAAGCCCAAATAAGACTTTTCAAATTCCTATTTGTTTTCAAATACGTCACTTTTTTTTTAACTTTGAAACCCCCTATTGTGTGAATTACAAATAGTTATGCTATAGTCGTTTAACAAATAGAAGTTTATTGCATCGGAAAAATGTTTCAAATACCATTAAAAATTTGTTTTTAATGAAGAAATATTAGAAATATTATTCTTGGGTTGACATTTTGAGTTAGGAACCTTTGCAAAATGTAGTAAGTTACTGTATTTCAAAATCTGAAATAAACTTAAGTTGATCTTGGAAACGAAACTTATTTAGAATGTGATATTTATCGAATTTGGCTAAAAAAAAAAAAAACAAAATATAATCATAATTATCTCAAATTCAAATTCAGCATAATACTTCGCTGCTTTTGTTCAACATGTTCTTTTCCATAAGATGTTACCAATCTATTATTCAATATTTTAAAGCCTCTAGTAGAGTATGCTTCATCCATAAGGAATCTGAACTGTTTTGTCTTAACCATATTTTCGGTTAAACCAAATACTTTAAGAAAATCGTCAAGCGCTTTGTCATTGTTAAGAAGCTTATTGCGCATTTCGAAAACCACAATAGATTGGCTATTTTCACCATTTTGATCATAGATTTTAACAAACTTATCTAATTGAGCCAATCCCTCAGGATTTTCATTTAATTTTTTCGTGATTAATGTTGATAAACCACCCAAGACTGTAGCACCTGCTGCACTTGTCATGAGAGCTCCTTTCATGCCTAATCCAACTGTGCCAATTGATTGTAGAATAGCTACGAGACTGCCCGAAGCAGTAGCACCACCTTGTAATGACATCATATATGCCGCAAGTGATCCTGATGCAATACCACCTTAGTCGAATCCGGTCGCATTTACCAAACCAGCAAATCCCAACGGACCTAATACCATACCACCCACTGTTAATATGCCAATTGTAGTAGCTTTTGGGTGGTCAGAAACTAATTTTTTTGCCATTTCAAAAAAATTTTGAGGCTGAGGTTGAGGGACGGATATATATCCATTTTTCTCGAAGGAATCAAGGAGTGCTCCTTTAAAGAGACTCGAGTCTGAAAGTTGTACCATTTTTTTTTTTAGAGAAATTTTACAAAAGGCACGTAAGTAATTGCACTATAAAAAAAATCAACGCTCCAATATTTTCTACTTATTCTATTTTACGCATTTATTTATTTTTTATCAGCGAATCTGCATGGTCCGAATCTAACAAATAATATGTACGTACGTACATACCTGATAGTATCAGTTATGCAGTATCAGGCGTAAGTGCGCTCAATCTCTTATAGATCCGGTTAAATTTGCCGATCATCTGGCCAGATGACTTAATCTGGCAACAATGGTTGGAAAATTATGGAATACGTATTAGAAATAATACGTACGCCAAGAAGTCAAATTAAACCAAATTTATTGTTCTCGAAGAAATAATATAGCATGAAAAATTCTCACTAAGAATATATTTCCGATATACAGCCCAATTTTGTTTTCTTGACTGAAGAAGTGCTTTGTGAGTAATACAGACCAAAAAAGAAATTTAGGTTTTTTAGTTTAAACCTTAGGATCGGTTAGGGTTCGCGGTTAATAGGAAAAATTGGTGTTTTTATATAAATTCCATCCCGACATTTTTAATTAGTAATGCAGGGCAGACTTAAAGCTTTTTTTCTGTTTTCTTCGTTTTTTGTACAGTACGTGTCGGGTTATATCATTCGTATAAGCGCACATCTCGAACCGGAACTTAGCGCGAGATTAGTACTATTTATTCCCCGCTTCGCTGGGGAATAAATAGAATCTAACATTGCCTATATATTAAGATTATATAACACACCGGAGGTTTAATCATCATCTAATTTGGAATCGGTATGTTTGTCTTATTAGAATCCATCTCTAAATCCTGCCGACGAGACGTTATCTAAGAAATACAACCAGTCCTCACAAACACGATCTAAATTAAAAAAAAAAAATAAACCAATACTATTCCTCTATTTTTCATTATTTTTTTTTATTCATTTCGTTGCTCTTTTTCTCATTGCTTGAATAAATATTTCATCCCTTTGTACAAGTTCATCACGTCCCTTGTAAGGTGTGCAATATTAGCTTATGTATTGTATGATATGTTTCTTTAGCAGCTTAAAAAATGTAAGAATGAAAATTTTTATTTCTCATTATAACAAGATGGTAATAAAGTTTTTGCCGGGATCCTCACATGTTATAAGTATTAAATAAAGGATAAATGAGTCCCCCTTATGTGTATATGTTCGATTAGTCTCAAGGTTGAAAAATGTATATCATTATTAATATAATACTTATTTTCATATTATTACACCTTTTTTATTTTATTATTGTAAAGAAAAAAAAAAAAATTTCATTATACTATACAGTCAGTCAAAAATTCCTTTAAGGAATGATGAAGTTTTCATATTAAAATTACAAATTATACCTATAATATGGGAAAGTTAGTATTATTCTTAGCTCTTAAAATATTATATTCATTCATCTTATTTACTGCTTGAAATAAATAACTTTGAGGATAATAATCCAATCTAATCCTAAAAAAATAAGGAAATTTTCCTTTGCAAGTGTCAACAAAATACATCAACAAATCGTAATTTACATCTGCGGCTAGATCTTTTAAACAAATATTATTGGGTATCGTATTAGTATGCACTGCAATTTCTATTCCTGTAGGTACATATCCAACACTGTACATTAAAAGTTATGGTGCATAAACTTAGATGAAAAAAAAAAAGTCAATTTTGGAAAAGTATTTATAAATAACTTACGTATCATCAATAGTTTCCCATTTATTATACCCTAAAAGTTGCTTATCGGCAGCCATCAAAGCAGTGGCATTATTACAGTGTTGAGTAAAACTCGCATTTAATTGTTGAGGAGTAAAAACATCAGGCGTGTATGAAAATGAAGGCATATAATAGTTATTTAAGCGATGAATCCAAGGTTTCACGTCATTCCCCAAACTATCATACAATTCTGCGAACCATATTACAATTCTTTGATCATTTTCAATCATTTGACGTAAAGTTGGCCATGCAGTTTCATTTGTGGAACTCGCTGGAGGAAGTGTAATCATTTGAGAATGACCGGTAGTGGAATTTACAAAATATTTTTCTAGGTGTGACTGAATTTCGTGTGAAATTGTATAATATGTTGAACCTTGATCATTAATATGTCCAAACTCCAGAGATATTATTTCATAAGGATTTTTGTCCATGAAATCTTTAATGTCTGAAAACACTGGATCAAGTTCAAGACCTGACGCGAGATATATTCCATCGCCATGGCAAAATTCCACAGTCTTGTTATCATTTTTAAGGCACATCTCAAAATTCAAGAGACGAATTCCTATAATATCAAATATAACTATTAAAAAGAGAAGATTTGAATCAAATCGTATGGTGAATCAAATAGAAATACCATCATTGAGCTGTCTTAACACAGGAAAGCCAGCGTTATTTTCCCACAAACATGCAACCATCCAATCAGGTACGACAGATTGGCAAGTACTTGCCCATGAATTACAAAGCTTTGAAGCTTCCGCGCAGCCAATCAACCAGACTATACACCAAGCATTGGTTGATTTACACACATTATCCAATATATCACACGTCCAATGCAAGTAATTTGGATTCCATCTTTTGCATATTGATGTTTGTGCTTCACAATGAATTTTATAGTATGTATTGCATTGAGTATATTCTTTTGCACAAGGAGTTACTGTTTCTAGACAGCTTTTAGCTGAAGTGACACAATCGAATTTAAGATTGTATGATGCACTATTGTGAGTTCCTGGATATGTCTAATCAATACAAAAAGAGATAAGATAAAAGTCAAGGTTATATCAATTAATTAAAGGAAATTAAGGTAATATACCACTTGGTTATATCGTAAGTCACAAAGATCAGCACTACCATTGCATAATAAAGTTTCATTAGTGGTAACTGCGCTCGTAGTATTCGTTGTATTAGTATCTCTCTTTAAAATTTGAAAATATTGAATATTTTCTATGAAGGCATTGGTAAATAGAACATGAATGATTAAAATAAGAGCCGCAATATGTGACCAAAATTTAGTCATATTTATTATCCTATCAATTACTCATCAAATATTCATATATGCTAAGAAAAAATGGCTCAACTTTTTAAAGAAAAACTTGCCTTATATTCTAGAATAGGCGAATATCTCGGATATTTATGAAAATACACGGTTTCGCAAAGATAATGGGAACCAATTTTAATGTATAATTCCGATTTGCGTTTATGAATAATAGTAAGGGATGCCATTTACATTTAATACTTTTTTACCTAAAGTATCCAATCGACATATGGAGTGAATCACACAATCAATCATACATAACAGTTACGGTAACTTTGTACGTATGAATAGTGCTATTTCCCAATTATAGACAAATTAGAATATTTGTATTACTACGTGATTTTTAGATTATGGTAAATGACTGCTAAGTGCGATTGTAGGTACAAATGAAGCTTAAAGTTCACGGTTCTAAGCCGTGGCTTGCAAATTTGCTTAGATATTACTTTCAAAGCCCCAGTTACAAATATATATTTACTTCTTTTTTTTTTTTGTACATTAATATATATATAAGTTATATTTTTTATACGTACGTACAAAAAATTTTGTATCTAAATATATAAATTATATAATCTATCGATATGTTTAAATTAATCACCTGTTTAAATATTGACAAGTTTCAAAACTGATATACGTATTCTACGTAGATCCCATATATATCTATGAATGAATTATATATTCAAATAAAAAATATATATATCGTGTGGTATTAAAATTCAGTATTTTTAAGGATTGGAAAATTGCTAGCGTGGATGGAGAAAAAATTACATAATGCATAAATTTATATGTATAGGCGATGATCTTAACCATTTCTCATGGACAACTTAAACTCAACAGTAGAATTTGGACGTTCTTGGCGTTCAAGATTTCTTTTTGAAAATGATTTCATTCCCCTCAATCAAGGATCATTCGGAGCTTATCCAAAAGTTATACGAGAAGCATTGAATAGTTATCATAAAAAGTTTGAATCCAATCCTGATTTATGGATTCGAAAGAATCTCGGAATAGAATTAGCCAAGGCTAGAGAAGCGATTGCCGAATTTGTAAATGCAGATACGAATGATGTTGTTTTTGTACTAAATAGCACTACTGGGATAAATGCTGTATTGAAAAGTTTAATATTTGAATCGGGTGACAAGGTAAGAGTGTAAAAGTAATAAGACATAAATAACATTTATCACATATATTTTTTAATTATATTTATTAGATAATTTATTTTTCTACGAGCCACACTGCTGTGAAGAATTCATTACAATTTGTTCGTGATCGCAATTATGATAAATTGGAACTTTTGAAAATTGATGTTAATTATCCGATTTCCGATGAAGAATTGATCTCTAAAATAATTGGAATCATTCAAGAGGAACACCAAAAGCCAAACTCAAGAATCAAATTGGCATTTGTTGACGCTATAACTTCTGTCCCTGGTTGGTTAAACGTGAAGAAACGAAGAAAATACTCTATTATTTAATTATATCATTAAATTAATACTATTATCTTATTTTAGGGGCTATCTTACCTTTAAAACAAATCTTAGCCATTTTACGACAACACAACATTCTTTCGGTGGTTGATGGTGCTCAATCAGTTGGTCAAATTCCACTGGATTTAAAAGATCTTGATCCTGACTATTTTGTATCAAGTTGTCATAAATGGTTATATTGTGCTTATAGTGTTGCCATCCTCTACGTTCCAGAAAGAAACAAAAAGAATCTACATCCTCCTGTTACTTCAGTTTATTATGACGAAGAGTTTACACAGGAATTTTCATGGGTTGGAGCTCAGGATTATAGGTGCGTCAATTTTTTTTTCAAGGGTTTTTTTTAATTTGTTCATTTTATACAATACAAAATTAAATGATTTTTATTAGTCCCTATTTGACAGTTCTTCCAGCTCTAGAATTTCGTCGGAAAATCGGCGGCGAAGAAAAAATTCTCACCTATTGTCACGATTTGGCTGTTAAGGGTGGAAAATTAATTGCTTCAATTCTTGGCACTGAAATTTTAGGTCCAGAGCATATAATCCCAAACATGGTTAATATCCGTCTCCCAGTCGATGTTTCTAACGAAAAAATTTCAGTAGAAGTACTCAATAATCTTTTATTTGATAAATATCATTGTTATGTATTACCGTACAAGCATAATGGTTATTGGTACATTAGAGCTAGTGCGCAGATTTATACTGATTTGTCTGATTTTGAAAATGTTGGTAAAGCTTTAAGAGAGATTTGTGAATCTTTTAATAAAATGGTAAAATAGAAATCAACAAATAAAAATTATACAAATAGTTAATATATTATTTTAAAGAAAGTATAGTATCCATTAATGTCCCTGAAACAGTAAGCAATACAACCAAATTTTTCTGGAAAATTACTTTTTCAAAATTTAAATATATATTTAAATAAAAACATTTTTTTATTAATATACTGTATATCGTACAAGCGCGAAATAACGTCCACCTGCACCCTAATTATAATAAATAGTATTATTTATAATAAGAACTCTGGGACTGGGTATGTTATTAAGTAAACCTATTTTTTGGCTTTAACAAAAGCAGTTCTTCAGATCGAGAAGATTCTAATGGTAGCAAAATCATCAAAAACAGTCCAGTAGTTCATTCGCAATGATTCTTCAAAGTTTTGCAACGGTTGTTTACCTTAGTTGTATCACGTAATCAAACGTTACGAAACTTTGAAGAGCTATTGCGGGCGAACTACTGGATCGTTTTAGATGATTTTACTACCGTTAGAATTTTCTCGTTCTGAAGAATAATTTTTGTTAAAATAAAAGATTTACTTAGTAACAAATCCAGTTCGGAGCACTTTTTTATTTATTTATTTTTTTTATATTCATTTTTAGGGATGTGCGTTAATTCGCGTTATTTCGCGTATTTGAAAATAAGAATTATTTAATAGTAGTATTTATTTTTATATATAAGAAAAAATTTGTGAAAATTTGAACTTGTACTAAGAATTAATATTTTTTTATTAATAAAGTTTAACGAATATGTTTTAAATAAGATAAAAAAATATATCCAAATACAGTAATTAATATTTTCGTTTATTTAAATATTTTTAAAAATTTCGGACAAAAAAATTTACTTGAAAAACAGTTAAAGAATAGGATAAACCATTATAAACTTTCTAACCCAAATAAACAATTATTATAATAAACAATTATTATAAAGACTTTAAATTCAATTGAATTATAAATAGATTTTGTTTGTTATGCATTATTATATATAACATCTGATCAAAAAAAAATATCTAAATGCGATCTTATAAGAAAAAGGACAAACTCATTCATCCAATAATTCCTTTTTCACTTTTCCCAACATTTTACGTCCTTTCTTATGATCATCAACAGTTCTACAGACACGACTTTGTGGTCCAAATTGTTTCTGGGTGATGAAATTCCAATGAACCATAACCCATGATTTGTGAAAAGCAAGATTCTTATAAAATTCTGGTGCGATCCTATATACTTCTGGAAGTTTTGACCATGGTACCTTGATCAAATTCGATGATAATATTAATCAATGTGATAATTGATAAATAAATTAATATATTCGTTTAAATAAATTTACCTTGGTAAAATCGTGATGTTCATTATGATAACCAATATTCATGAAAAAGTAATTCATTATTCCATAATATGAATAAGTTTCTTGACCATCATCAAATGTATAATGTTCTTGAATAAAATGTGCAGCTGCAGGGTGTACACCATATCCAAGCCATAATGATAAAACCAAATAAAGCAATCCTCTAGGACCACAATAATAATAAACCAAAGAATTGGTAGTGATGGTAAAAACCCAATTAACATACTCCCAAAATTGTGGGTTTTTTCGCATAGTAATCCCTCTAGTTACATACAATATTGGATAAGTGCTTAACCAAATAAATTTAAGAAGTGCATTTCCACGAATAAATTTCCATTCCCATTTCATTGGTAAATCCGGATCCATACCTACAACTCCTTGAAATGTGTGATGTTCTAAATGATATCGACGAAATGACATAGCAATCGGAAATGGTAAGGCTATATTTGCTAATAATCCCACAATTCTATTTTGAAATCTAGTTGGTGCCGCAAGAGAATGTGTTGCCTCGTGAATTATTACTCCATAAAGCTGTGTTAAAGAAGCACCAATAAAGTAACAATAAATAACCATTGTCCAATTCCAGTCAGTAAGAATTCGTCCAAAAACATAAGATGCTACAATTTGAGCTGCTGCTGCTACAATTACGATCGGAACGGTAGAAATATCATATCCGTATAATTTCTCTATTTCTGGATGGTTTTTTAGAATCGTGACTTTTCGTTTCATGTGAGGTTCATCTAGATTATCAGTTGCAATATCTTCATCAACATATGGAATGGATCTTTTCCAATCCCCAATATATAATGGTTGACGATAATCTGGGTTTCCCTGTTCTTTGGGCGGTAAAGGACCATAATCCTTGTTGTTTTCCGTGAATAATGGTGGCATGGTCTTTTCAAAAAAAGAATTGTACTTAAAAAAGAAAATTTCTTTTTTTTTTTTATGCTTCACTAAAGAATGGAAAATCAGAAACGAACAAATTTCATCTAAATCATACGATATTCTTATCTGAAGATGTGGGCTTATATAAAGATTGTCATTGTGATACATGTTCTATTAAAAATCAAAAACTTGGATACGCCAATCGTCGTCGGAAATCAGCTGCACGAGATGGTAATTACAAGATATAAATTTGGCCCCAACATTCGGGGTACTAATCCATCTACAGATCGAGCCAATCAATCTTTGTTCTCTATATCGATATATAAAGGTTTAAAAAGAAATTAAGATTACGGGAAATATATAATTTGGAAATTTAACGTTAATTACTGAACTTTTCTAAATGAATTTAGAGTAAAATATATGTTAGGAAACAGATCGTTGTCGTCCGGTGACAATTGTTACCGTAGAAACGTATATACAAGATCCGGGCCTATTTCATTCGACCATTTTTAGAACCTTTAATACGTAGACTCTGAGTACCAGCTGAGAGATTATATCGTGAAAAAAAAAGTGCTCACATACTTTGTATTTTATAATAGGCAATTTAGCTGTTTGAAAAAAAAACGCATTTGATTAATAAAGATTCACTTGGTTTTTAACGCTAATTCATCTACTATTTTTGGGGATCCTGTTTATACTTTTACGGTAATTCATACATACGTACATAATGTGCGTACGTTACACGGAGAGAAACGATCAAGGAAATGTCTTAAATTTTTGTGTAATGTATCTAATGTATCTACTATAACTTAGTTTTGTAAAGACATAACGAAAATCTATTGTTACCATTACAAATGCTATTTATTTCACGTTTCTATATGATCGCATGACAGGGTTTTACAACTTATAATCACTATAAAAGAAACGAGTTTTTAGAAATGCCTGTTATTTCTCCGGAAGTCTGGGGAATAACAAATATTGCTAGAAACTGGGGGTTTTTTTTTTGATCAAAGTAATGAGTATGGGTCGTATGCCTTCCATGACATCATATAAAAACGAAGAATTTACCTCTTATTCCACCGTTGCGGGAAATAAAGACATATAATTAGAGCTGGGATCCGTGAATATCCACGGTCAAAAATGAATATTCAATTAAAAGTGAATGTTTGGTTACATAAAATTCACGAATATTTAAGGATTAGAGTATTATTAGTTTTTTACACGGAATTCGTGAATATTCGAGATGAATAATC